TTTTTTTTTTTTTTTTTTTTTTTTTTTGCAGTGGCAGAGGGAGTGGAATGATAGAAGAAAAACTCAAACAAGCAAGAAGGATGCTAAGCATACTTGAAGTTGTCAAGCCGTTGCTGAACTTGCTTTAGAGCATTTTGTAACCTTTTCCTGCTTGCATCTCGCATTGAATCAGAAATAGCATTTTTGTCAACTTTGTTGCTCTGTAAATCAAATTAGATAAGTGGGTATGCAGACAGAATAAAACAGTTAATTCTCCATTAATCTTAACAGTACTGAACTATAAAAAGAAATAAGCAGAGACTAGAAAAGAACTTTTCTGCCATTCGCAGTACAGATTGCTTATCAGAATAGTTTCTGCTATGGTACCACCCAAATGTTCTAACCAGGGAAAACAGGCTGGGGCATAGAAGAATATGGAGAATTTAAATTTAACCAACAATGTGGATATAATCCATTAAAGATAAACCTGTTTATAAGTGTTATTATTTCGATAGAAGTTTTCTTCAGCTCGTTGTAGCATAGCAAGCTTTTCATTAACTCCCAATCTGGATTGAAGCTTTGATCGGGGTAGGTTGTTGACAACCTCATTAACATCTGCGAGAGAAAATTCATCCAGGTGAATCTATGGTCTAATAACCAATTCACCCCGAGAGTAAAAACACAGGCAACTGAAATAACTTTGGTACTACCATCTGAATCAGATATATCTTCCTCTGATCCACTTGCTTCCTCATCCCGGTTCCAGAATTCAGATATCTGTTCTCTGTCAATTGCATCAGTAGAACTGAAAATTTAAAGTTGTGAATAAATCAGAAACTATACATATTTAACCGGATTAATTAATATAGTAAAAGAAAATCACCATCAGACCAATTATAAAATATACAAGGAATAACCCTAAAGTGTTACTAACCAAAAGTCCGACCATACAATCCTCATCTTGAAGGAAACTACTCAATAGTCAATTATTTTAACTCCATTGCTTTCTTTTCTTTTTATGGTTTTGGAACAATACATGAGGGGGAAGTGACATGGTAGGTCCAACAAAATCACATACTCAAATGGCACAACCTTGAGCCAAAAGATGTCTTAAAGTTCCATCTTTATATTCATATCCAATATCTTTGTCAAATAGAGTAACAAAACTAACATAGTCTGCATTTACCTACCATTCCTAAAATTTATTATAACACAAAATACTGCAGCTCGTCTATACCCAAAATCTGGTTTCTGTTTATCAACTTTAAGTCCAATTCCTAATGCATAAGATGGTTCTTTACATATGAATAGCACCTGGTTATAAAAACTCGAGAAGAACCATTTTTCTGGCGTAGAGCACAAGCAGTTGTGAGATCCTCCAAATATCTGGCAACTAAATTTGGATGTCTGCAGGCATCACATGTTTTTCCACATAGTGATGCTGTTACCTGCTTTTACAAAGCCAGTTAATACTTAATAGTCCACTTGGGTCAACATGAAGCAAGCCACATATTACCTATGTATTTCATTACCTGTTCCCCAAAACTCTCGAGAATCCTTTTCCTGCGACATCCAGGTCCTTCACAATATTCAACCATCTACATAGTTGCATGTACATTCCATAACCTAACTATATAATGGCATGGTGCATAGATAGTGTTGAAAATCAATAAAACACTTAGAGATAAGATGTCACCTGATTGAAAGCAATCAGTGACGTTTTAGATGATTCTTCTTGTGAACTAGATGACTGAGACTTCGTGCTCCCCGATTTTCTTAATATAAATTCCTGACACAGATTATAATTTGAGAAAACAAATCTAATGAGGAAAACAAAGAGCAAAGTATCAAGTAAGCCAACCATTCTTTTGCGGTCATCTACCCCATAGTACAACAGACTTCTAGATGGCAATTGATCACGACCTGCTCTGCCTGATTCTTGATAGAATGATTCCATTGACTTGGGAATATTGAAGTGACACACAATTCTAACATCCTTTCTATCAATGCCCTGGTAAATTTGATCTTAAGCTATTACTACCAAATCACGAGAATAATAAAGATTACAATATTTAAACATCACAGAAATTTTAATCAAACTAATAGTAAATCACTACTTACCATTCTGAATGAAGACCAAAGGCTCAGTAACTATATGCAACAGGACAGCTCCATGCAGAGATTAAGAAAAGAAAGGAATACATCATAATCTCAAATAAATCAAAAGTTGTTACAATCATACTAAAATCTGAAAATATTGTGAATATGCTTAAAGCCATGATATATTCATGATCAGTTTGCTACTTTTAAAAATATTTTCTATTCTGTCTCAACTAAATTATTATATAAATATTATTAATTAATTGATTGATGTGATTTTAAAAAACTTAATATAATAAAATTAAAAAGAATAGAATAAAGAAAAATAATTAGAGTAATTTATATATTTTAACCTATCAACATTATTTTCAATCTCTATACTGGCCCAATTACCTTTGGACCAAGAATGACGTGTCAAAAGCATAGTTAAAAATAATTGGATGTCAAGCCCACTATCACACCAGAAATTATCGCAATTCACAACTGTTATGGCCACTACTGTGGACAGGGGCCAAAAATCTCACCTCCCCCACCCCAGAGCACACCAACAAGTAATTGGATGCTTCAAATGAAATAATTGCATACTACTTAATACAAACAAGAAAAGGGAAACACATACCCAAAAGCAACAGTGGCAACAACAACTTTTATCTTGGAAGAAATCCAATCATCTAACACCGAAGTTCGCATTTTATTATTCAATCCTGCATGATAAGCTGAAAAGACCCAAAATAATATATGAATATCGTATCAACCGATAGTTGTAGACAATCAATTGCAAAGGCAGCAAAATTATGTAAAAGTACCAGCACATGAAATGCCACTTTGGGATAGATTAGCTGACAAGTCATCACACATTGAACGTTCCAGGCAGTACACTATTGCACAGACTTCTCCCAGAGACTTTAGTGTATTAGATAAATCAGCAAAAGCATCATCCAATAGATCTTTGTATCTAACTGTATCATTAAGAAATCAGGTCAGATTTGTTTGAATTTATAAATTATAAATTAGCTGCATCTCATACAAAATTAACCATGATAGTTGAATCGGGATACAATTTGTGTATTGCAAAGTGCCAAAGCCTATTTTCCGAATCATGAATCGTAAGATTCATAATCAATAGAAACACACACACACACCCACATATATATATATATATAAACACATACACACAAGACATAAAATCATTCTAGGCCAAATTGAATGATTGAATGACAAATTCACTTATGGAATAATCAAATAAGATAAGTTCAGAAGAGTTCCTTCAATTCTTTTTCATTTAACAATTTAAGCTCATATGACCTTTCAATTTTTCATGAGAATTGGTGAAAGAAAGATAAAAAAGAAAAAAAAAAACATTGAATCGTTGAATCATATAATTCATATCGATGCTACAAAATTACATAGGTTCATTTCATTTGTATATCATAAGATACAAAGTCATTTTAGATTCATCTTAAGATTTGAATCGGTAAGTTGCCAAATTGTATCAAATTGTGAATCATAAGATTCTGAATCTCTGATAACTATGAAATTAACATCTAGAGCAATTCACCAATAACACTCATGCAGTAACTGGAATGCTTAAAAATAGCCTAAATAGAATACCATCCAATTCTTTTGTTTTCTTCTATCCTCTTTGTCTGCGTATCTTCACCATCAAAGGTAGCAGATACAAATATTAATATTATTGGTGTGCCAGTCACATTACATGTCATACAGGACAGTTACAGTTAACCGTTACTAGCATGGAAATTATGACATAAAAGCTTAATTGGTTGTTAGTTGTGACTTACACAGCAAAGCAGAACTGACCTTCATAATATATATTAGGACGATTAAAGGAAGACTTGAGTATTAGTGGATTTTCCATCTGCAAGGATTCAACTACATCCTTCTGAACCCTACATAAAATGAACAACTGAGGATTCAATGCCACAAAGTAATTCTCATTTCTCTCCCCACAATACAAAAATTGAGATCAGAATGAAACAGAATACCTGCACTGAAAATATTACAGAGAATATGCAATGATCATTGTGGTAAGCAGAGCATTTGACAGAACACTAGCAAAGAATAATTTGACAGTAACTAAAAATCCTTTCATGATACCAAAAATAGCATAAGTTTCATGCTATATCATTGTCTATTTCAACTATATATAGGAGAATAACAATTGAAAAACCCTGCGACAATTGACAAATTGTAGTTCAAAAGAATATATAAGGTTGCAAAAGCATAAGCCTGAATATGAAATACATTTACAAAAACTAAAACACACCCAAATAATAAAATTAAGTTATCAGAGAAATCAAATTAAGAAGACTTACTTAGGCACTGCAGTAGCAGTCAGAGCTAATATTGGTACATCTGGTAGGTGGCCTCTCAAAGATGAAAGCTTACGGTAGCTAGGTCTGTTCCCAAATAGAGAAGGGAAAGTGAATTGTATATCATGAGAATAAACTATAACCCATGTGTACGTACATAAGGAAAATTAAACACAAACACCCACAAACTTGATCAAACCTTCAGCTTCTGGATAAAGAAAATCCAAAAGGCAATGATAACAGAGGCATAATGGAATTCAGTTGGACACTATTGAAGCACAATCAACTAAATCAAGTACTACCAAAATTAATCTTATAGGTTTGGCATTAGAATAAAAATAAATATAAATACAATCATATATACATGTGAACAAAGAAGATAGTATTAATCTATTTAGGCACGGCACTAGGGAAATATTAATCATATAATATTTTCATTGCCTGGCAGAAACATATAGATCCTATAAGATAATCATGAAATAATTCCAGCATGACAAACTCCAATTGGCTTGTTGCAGAATTTATGACAAACCTGAAATCATGACCCCAACTTGAGATGCAATGTGCCTGAAAATTTTGCAGAAGTGAAATAATAAGAGAACAAGTAAATTCAGCAGAAACAGAAAATTGAAATTGCCTTTCCAGCTCACACCTCATCTATGGCAATGAGATTTAGCAAACCCCTAGCATAAACCTTTTTCAGCTTTGACATAAACCCTGGTGTTGCTATCAACTCTGGAGTCACATATAGCAGCCTTGTAGAAGGTTTTCCAGAATCTAGGTCCTCATGAATCTTAAAACATAAAAGAGAAAAATCACTTTCATTAATCAATAAGAATAACACTAGGGAACATGTGAGGAATTGCTTATACTGTTAGACATGGATTTGGCTCTTCTAAAGAGAAGAGATGTATAAATTAAGGAAGTAAGGTTTTATCCACCGTTGATTTGAACCAAAACACTTCTGTAAATATATTAAATTGATTGATAAATCCCACTTTCTCACTTTACCCAATTCAATTTAAAGGAGCTAAATCTGGTACAAATACATATAAAGGAATTTGGCATGATCCCTTCCCCCAAACAAAATAAAACAAAATAATATATATATATATATATATGTGTGTGTGTGCGTGTGTGTGTGTGTCCATACATGTATATATAAAAAGGAGAGATTCATTTACTCCAAAAGTAACTCTTCATATAGTTACTCCACTTAATAATTCATGATGAATATTAAATTTCAATAATCCAATTGTTAAATTAAAAATTCTTAATGAATAAATCAAATTTATAAATTTTGCAAAGTTTAAAAACTATATGATACTTTGTTATGTAGATTCAAATTAATGTATATTAATATGCTTTTATGAGTACATGTCAATTTGAATTAATGAAACAAAGTATTAAATACTTTTCAAATTTTGTAAAAATTTGTAGACTAGATCTGTTTAATAAAGACTTTTAATTTAATAGTTGGATAAACGAAATTCAATGTAGACCATGAATTATTATGTAAACCCTAAAACTCTACCAAGAGTTACTCTTTGAAGTAAATAGATCCCTCTCCATATATAATATCCTGAAGGTTGAAGCCAACAAAATCAGGATTCAGAGAAAAGCAATGTAGGAATTTTAGTGGTATCATTGAGAAGCTTGAATTTATTAGTCACCATACTTTTAAATCCATATAAAACAGAAGTATTAAGATTATTGTAATAATTATATTTATATTAAACTTCTATTTCATATTGATATATATTGATATATTATTTGCAATAAAGAGGACGAGCCTTGATACAATGATAAGGTTGTTTCCTTGCGAACTGAAGGTGAGGTAGCTTACGTCTACCTTTCCCGGTCCCCATTAGGAGGGAACCTCATGCATTGAGCCCCCATCATCATATTATTTGGAATAAAACATCAGAATTTTAACAATTCACCTTTGCTTTTGCATCCGTTGTTTTTGTTGAGGAGAGAAACTCAGCAGCAATTCCTTTCTCCTTTAGTGCCATTACTTGGTTTTCCTAAATTACAGAAAGAAAAACAAATGAGCCAAAACAAACTCTTGACTCAGTAACTCAACATGTTTGAAAAAGCAATAAATTTTAACAGATGCCTACCATTAAGGCTGTCAGCAGAACAAAAGTCAGAAAAATCACAGCAGTATCCTAGCACACAAAACTAAGTGAATTACCAAGCAGCAACAAGTTCCGCCAAAGACACAAACTCTATAAAAGAAGAACGTGATTCACCTATTAGAGGACAAACAACAAGCACTATTCCTGATTTTGCAAGCGCAGGAATCTGAAAACACATCGACTTGCCTCCTCCAGTTGGCATTAGACAAAAACAATCTTTTCCTGCAACAAAATCAAAATAAAAAACTAAAAAAAAATTCCATTTCCAACATAAATCACCATTTTTGAAACAAATAGCCGCTTCTCCTTTCCTAATGCAAAGAACACAAGTTAAATTGAAATTATTACTTTACACTCATCAACAGTTCACTAAGGCACCAATCACCATAAAACACGAAGGAAAATATCACAATTCAATTTTCGTATGTTTTAAAGAGGAAAAGGTGAATGCACCTGAGAGCACGGCCTGAATAGCATCCAATTGCATGCCCCTGAAATCAGCGTACCCAAAATGCCGTCTAAGAAGCTTCACCAAAGTTTCCTTGCTGCACAACGCCTTCCTCTTGTTCGCATTCGCGTCGTTCAGTGGCAATAGCGACTTCTTCTGCATATTCATATCCAACCTGCAAAATCGAAGATAGCGCAAAATTCGCCACGAGAAAATTTGAGAAGTAAATTGCATGAACGTGCATCGAAAGTGCGCACCTTTGATCGAAGGGTTTCGCGTATTGCTCAGTACAAAGCCTTTCGCGGGTTTTTCTTTTCCACGGTGACACAGAAATTGAAATTGGACAGTGAATAATAGGGTTAGCTTTTTCATGTATCCTTGGTGAGTGAAAGAACAGGGTGAAAATATATAAAATTGAACCAAGGGGAACAGTAAAAAGGGCATAATTATGACATAAAACCTAGCCCTTGTTTAATTTTTTTTTTCTCTTGAAAAATCACATTTTTAATTAAATAAGTAGTTTTGTGCTTTTGTTTTTTAGGATTGTCTAAACTACATGTTAAAATAATTTTCTTTTTTTTTAACAAATAATTTCCATATTAAGAAAATAGATGATATTAATTTCTTAAATATATAATAAAATAATAATAATTAATAGGAAAGAGACATTTTATATCTCTATGTATTTTATTTAAATAAAAAATGGGAAAAAAAGAGAAGTTAAGATAAACAAGGTGATTAATTAAAATAATAAGAACTAAAATGAAACTAGGATTAATCTTATTTTTAGCTTGTGAAATATCCCCTTTCAAGAAAGAGATTTTCCTTAGACAATCCGAAATCGATTTCTGAAGCTCCTTCTAGGCTTCTAGCTTTGTTTGGACAATTTTAGTCAATAAAATATATACCGCTTAAAGAATTTTTAAATTCAATTTTTTCTACAATTTTAAGGCCTATTTAAATAAACTTCTTAAAAAGAAAAGTACTTTTAAGAAAAAAAAATATTAAATTATATATATATATATATATAAAAACTAAAATATTTTTAGAAAAATTAATATGCGAGGATATTTGTATATTATTTTAAGCATAAGCTTATTTTACTTTCCAATGAAACTCATTTCAATTTTCTATTTTTTTATTTCTTATAAATATTTATAGAAAAGTTTATTTGTTGAGAAGTTTATCCGAATGCAATTTTAAACTCTTGCATGCGTACCCAATATTTTTTTTTTTCACTTACTTATTATTCTTTTTATATACATAGCCGTATGCTTATGACGCCCATACTGTCAACAAGCGGAATATTATTGGTTTAAAAACTTATTATAGAATATTTGTAATATCAGCCTAGATTATTCAATAAACAGTGATTGTAAGTCTAATGTTTTTATTCAAAGGGAGGAAATGAAGTCAAGTTCTAAGAGATTTATAACAACTCACACCCTCAACTAAGAGACTCCTTGGCCTAATTGAAAGCTTTCAGAACTTCTATTTCTCCAGATGATAGTATAACTAACAAATTTATAACTGCAACGTTTTCGAGAAAGTACTGTGACATTTTCTATATCATATCTAATTTGAATTTTTTACTGTACTAGAATTTTTTTTAAAAAAAATATAAAAATAAACACTCATAATATATTTACGAATATAAACTGTTTTACTATACATGGTCAGAATTTAATCTAATCAGGGAGTTGAAATTCGAGCACAGTATCCATTCCCAATTCAATTTATAAGAATATGTCATTTCCTCAGTTGGAATTCGATACCTTGGATCCGAATTCGTACGGGGTTTAACTTTTTTTTTTCCAGTATTTCTAATATATATATATATATATATATATATATATATTAAAATATGAAAATTATTTTTATACATACTTAATTTACATTTAACTTAATTTTTATCCAATATTAATGTTAACTTTTGTTGATTCTTCAACTCCTACACACAAAAAATAGATATTTATTTTTAATAAAGAAAAAACAATAATAAGTTATTTGAAAAAATTTTGAATTTAATAAGTTAGAATGTATTGTTTATATAAATATGTCTAGTATTAGTCATTGCATCCACCTTATTGTCTCTCTCAATGAAAAACTTGTTGCAATAAGTGTATGTTGTCATTATCATGAAACAAATTGGCAGGTTTCTTGTTTCTTCAATATTGAATTAATAGACTTTGTTAGATTTGTTGTCATGTGTCCCCAACATTGTCCATTTTCTCATGCCAACATCCATTTTTTACTTGGGATGTTGTCCAGCCATTATACTGTTTTAGCATTATTATCTCTTACTATGTTATAATAGTAAAAATTTTTCAAATAATAACATTAATTTTTTAACTTATTGTAAGATTGTTATTTATTTAAATTTTACCTTATATTTATAATATATTTTTAAATTATTTTAATATTTAATTTATATATATTTATATATATATATATATTATAAATACTGGGAAAAAAAAAAAGAAAAAAAAGTTAAACCCCTGCATGGAATTCGGATCCCGGGAATCAAATTTCAACTGGAGAAATGTCATGTCCTTATAAATTGAATTAGGAAAAGGGATTTATTTTTGTATTTTTTAAAAAAATTTCTAGCCCAGTAAAAAATTCTATCTAATTTAATGTAAAACAATCGATCACTAAACATATTACAACACTATCTCATGTAGTGTAATATTTTATTCCATGTCATAGCAAACATTGCATAACATTAAAATGTATCATGTCATAAAATTAGGTCTAGTTAAGTCTTATCCAACTTGTGTACGAAAGATGCTCTTAAAGAGCGCATACCATTGAACGAGCTGATCCTGCAGTCACATCACTATTCTCCTCTAACACATACTTTTCAAATCTACAATGTTGTAACGTAAGAAAAATCTCACTCCACCTTAACCTGTTTTCTGTACGAAAGCTTTTATGTCAAAAGCATCACCAGCAGATGTCTTCGTAATAACACCCTGCTAAGAGAACATAAACCGGTCAGAGAACAAAATGCAACTAAACCCCATAAAATTGGTCAAGAGAGGAAGGATTAAGAAAGACCTTCTCAGTTATGATCCCAGATATTAGATTAGCAGGAGTAACATCAAAAGCTGGGTTCCACACAGAAATTCCAGAGGCAGCAATCTGCTCTCCAAGTCCTCCATGTGTGTTCAACAATTCCTTGGGGGACCTCTCCTCAATGACAATTTCTTGTCCAGAAGAAAGTGATAGATCAATGGAAGTCAGGGGTGCAGCCACATAAAAAGGTACATTATGAAACTTAGCGCACAAGGCAACGCTGTATGTTCCAATTTTGTTGGCTGTATCACCTGCAATGTCATTTAGAGGAAGATGAATTTGATGATAGCTTTCATGTTCAAGAAAACTATAGTTTAAATTCATTGAAACTCAAAAGTACCGTTTGATGCAACACGATCTGCCCCAACAACAACAGCATCCACGCGTCCTGCTTTCATCAATGCAGCTGCAGCAGAATCTGCAATAAGAGTTGCTGGTATTTTTTCATGCACCAACTCAAAGGCAGTAAGTCTAGATCCCTGCAATTAAACATTATGATTATAAGGCATAAGCACAAGCTTCAAATCACTTTAACTTTGATTTATGGTATGCAGTTAACGGAAATGTGATTCTTAACACATGCAGGATGTAAAAACTAAATGGCTTCATTAATAAAGTTAGATATGTCATGTGTTCTTAAAACTACTTCAAGCTGCAGCTAAAATATTCCATCATGTCATCAATCCACTGCCCCCCTCCAAAAAAATATATATATAACAAAAATACTGGAGTTCTGTAGTCAGCATGATAATCACCTGCGATACTCTGACTCTGTTAATGAAAATTTGGTATTTTAGTTTAAGCCGCTTCCATATGGACTATAAACTAAAAGGTAAATACATCATTATGGTTCCGTTCTGTTTTTAAGTCATGCTATAAATCCAAGTTGACAAATGAAACATAAAACAACTTATACGGATCATCCTATTTAAATGTAACTTTGAGGATACATCTTCTCTCAAAAGAGCTCCGGGCATAACTAAATCTTGTAATATGCATTGAAAAAGAGCACTCACTTGATTGAATGGGCGTGTTTCTGTGCAAAAAGCCCTTTCTAGAACTCCTCCACTGTGAAGCGCACGGATCACACCCAGAGCAGTACCATATCCTGCTGTGGCTAAACTGAGTAATAATAAAAGGCAGTTACAAGTGAGTCCAAACACCTTCTCACTTCATTTGTCAAACAAATGAAAGGCAACAGATATCTATATTTTATACTGTAACAAGGGGTGGTACTGTAACAGTCACCTTCCAGTATTGCAATGAGTCAAAACAGAAAGCTTTTGTTTCTTTGTTAATTGTTGAATAAAACTAGCTCCATAAGAACCAATAGCTTTATTTGAGGCAACATCATCCTCAAGCATAACTTCAGCAGCATCTACATATGCCTACAAAGTAATCCAGTAGATTTAGGTTCAAATTGCCATACCCAAAAATAAGAGTAAAAAATTATATGTGTTTCCTTATTAGCAAGAATTCCTTCATTGTAAATTTTAGCCATACCTGGAAAACACTCTTGCCTTCTGAAGTGGTAGCAGCTGCATTTGATATGACTTCTTTGAGTTTTGTCACAGCATCTGATAGGTTCACTGCTGTTGGCCGACTGCAGTATGAAGAAAGGAATCAGCTAAAACTCATGTTTGAAAGGAACTTCACGACAATCACATCAACTGCTTAAGGAGGCACTTCAATATGCCAAATGCTGTTTACTAGGCAGTGGCATGCTTAAATTAACAAAACAAATAGATTGCTTTCTTAGAAATGCAGAGAATTGGAAATACCTTGAGACAAGATACTCTAATTTCTTCTGCAGGAAGGAAACAGCATCACCAGCTGACCCATTAAAATCATCTAAATTGAACACCTCCACAGCCAAAGAGAGCGCTGCTGCAATCGCAATAGCAGGTGCTCCGCGGACCACCATATCCCGAATGGTATTCCTGTGAGAGAAGGTTATGAACATTTATATATTTGAATCCACCGACTGAAAATATTAAGATCATAGTCCAAATTCTAGAGGGTATTTCGAAACTGTTACTATGGTAACACGACAATTGACCACTTAACACATTATCTAGTCATCTAGTGAAATACAAGGCAAACTACAAGATTCAATTCCTCCCACCATAACATACATTTCAATATAAAATACATCTCAATCACATTCAACGGTTCAAACTTAATTCTACCAAACTTTAAAACAGACCAGAGGGGGCATTTCTGCATTAGGGGGAAATTTTACCGAACTTAATTGAACTTATCATAAATGGCATAAGCACTTAAAAGGCAGTATAAGTTTTTTTCTTCTTTAGTTTGTCTCAACAAGTTTACAGCAAAACTTATCACAACAAGCTCACGTCTTATACATCCGTTTAAATAAACTTCTCCATATAAACTTATATAAGAAAATTAATATGTAAAATAAATTAAAATCCCTCATAAGCTAAAATCATTGTATGTACTTAAATTTTATAAAAGCTCTCTCATTTAACTTCCCAAAAGCTAAAGGTTACAAGTTGACTTTTAGCTTACGATAGAAGTTTAATTCATTTTAACTTCTTATTATCTTCTCTAATAAGAATTTATAGAGAAAGTTATCCAAACAATACCTTACTTAACTAAGTGTTTGTTGGTTTGTTTGTTTAAATTTTTTTCTTATAAAAACGTTTTTTTTAAATAAAATAAACATTTTTTTATTTTTTTATTTGTTTGTCTAAACTTTTTTTTTTTTTTTTTAAATAAGCAGCTTTCTGCCTTTTCTTAGAAGCAACTCATATCTGACTTCTAAATAACTGATTTTTAAAAAAATACTTATTTAGAAACACTTCTTTTTAAGTTTAAACAAATTTATCCATAAACTTTTATTGTATAAGCACTTATAATGTACCCAAAGTTCCAAACACGACCTAGAACCTGTAAATTCAATAATCCCATAATTTGCATATGCAGACCTGAGTGTTCAGTACAACTCAAACAAACAAAGCATAAAGCACGGCACAAACAAGTTTCTTTCTCCCTTCAAATTGAATTAGAATATTTTACCAGCCATCAGTGGAATCCCGAATGTCCAAGTAAAGTGTTTCTAAAGGGAGCTTTCTCTGCACAAGTGTAAGGAAAGATTAAAACAAAAGCGAAATGCATGGTTGTAAGTGGAAAACGGTGTTAAAATGGGCGAAATGTGAAGACCTGATCGAGAAGCTGAAGGGAACCGCGGTTGTAGCAAATGGATTGGAGCGTGTTGGTGGCAGAAACTTGGTTGGACTCGCATGCCATAGAAACGAATTCAGCGACCTAGGGTTGCGTTCCCGAAAGAGGTGTTCAACTCTCTGCGTGCAATCAACTCGCAATCATGCGTTTCTCTTCTTTTATCACGCACAAAGATTCTTCCGCCACCAGGCTGCAGCAGCCCTTTCTTTTTATTAAAAAAAAAAATAATAATAATAATATAGTTAAACGTTGTCAAAAAAAAAAAAAAAAAAACTCTCAAATTTAAGATAAATTATTTTTAATTTTTTAAAATTAGTTTTTAATTTCTGTAATTTTAAAAAAATTATTTTAGTTTTTATATTTAAATTTTTTAAAAAAATTTATTAAATATTATTATATAAAATTTACTTTTTATTGTCTGGTTATTAAAATTATTATATTAAATCTGGTTGATATTGTATAATTATTTTAACTAGTCACTATCAAATATCTTAATATTGACCTGAAGAAATAAAATAAGATTTTTAAAAATTATAAATATTAAAAATAATAATTTTAAATATAAAAGATAAAAATAAATTTACTTTAAATTTAAAGAACTAAAAATATATTTAAGTCAAATTTTTACTTTTAATTTTTTAATTCATGCATTTAAACATTACCAATAAAAACGCTTTTTTGAGGCATAGGTTAAAAATTGTATTGTGGACGTTATTATCAAAATTGGAGCAATAATCAACTCATTAAGCCACTAAATTATTAGTATTAGTGGATTGCTATTTGAATCTGTATATTATTATATATATAACTTTATATTAATTATCATATAGTATAAAAATTACTATTTGTCAAATCTATTTATATTTATGATTTATGTATAATATATAAATTCTGAGCTACACAAAGTTATACACTTACATGTCAATATCATATTTTTCACATAGATATAACTCTTATTTCTCACCTTTCTTTTGGAATTCATGTCTATGCCATTAGCATAAAGAAACAAATAAATTATCATTATTTATTATGATTATATAATTTTTTAGACATTGTTTATATTTTTAAAGGATACACAGTGAGTTTAAACATGCTATATAATGGTCGTGGTTATGTCCCAGATTATGCTATCCAAGTGTTGATTGATAAATGTCTAATAAAGATTGATCAATGTTATGTGAAAATGCATGTTATGATTGAAGATATGGTAGAGAAATTGTACGGCTTGAATCACCCTCAAAACCATGTGAACGTAGTAGATTATGCCTCTCTAAAGAAATTTTCCGTGTTTTCAAAGAGAACAAGGTATGTGCATTGTGCTACGCTTATTTGTCTCTTTGGTCCTTCGTTTTTCCATTTTTGACAAATGCATAATGGAAGACCTGGTTATTAAACTTCTACAAATAAATTTTATGTTTACAGTTAGTTCTTAGATATAGATCTTTATAATTTGAGAACTTTATCATGATTTGACTATTTTGGCTCAAAGGGATTCGATAAAACTGAAATTACGATGTTACACTTGGTCAAAGATAAAAAAGTGCAATAGAATGTATCTACATTAGAGAAGATGGAAAATCTTAAAATACTGGTGGTAGAAAATGCTCACTTTTCTAGGGGACCGAGTGCTCTCCCAAAAAGTTTAAGAGTGATAAAATGGTGTGTATATCCTGAATCATCACTGCCTACTGATTTTGATCCAAAGAAACTTGTCATATTGGACTTGCCTATGAGTTCCTTTACATTCAACAAACAACTAAACATGGTACTTTTAGTAGTTAACCATTTTGGTTCCTGATGTTTATTTGATCTTGAATATTAATGAGTTACAAGTCCATTTGAAAATTCATAAATTAATTATTATGTTATTTTTTCTTTTTTGTAGAAATTTAAGTCTTTGATGGAACTGAATTTAAGCGGTTGCAAATTACTAAAAAAAAATACCTGACATGTTTGAAACACCAAATTTGAAGGAACTATATCTTGATCATTGCATAAATTTAGTTCAAGTTCATGATTCTGTTGGATTTCTTAATAAACTTGAATTTTTGACAATGGATAATTGCACCAGTCTTACGATTCTTCCCCGTGACATAAACTTAACTTCTCTTAAATTAATGTACCTTAGTAATTGCACAAGTCTTGCGAGTCTTCTAGAAATTTTAGGGAAGATGAAAAAAATGTGGGAAATTAATTTGAGTGGTAGTGGCATAAGTGGCTTGCCTTTTTCAATTGGAATCTAGTTAGGCCGTTTTCCTGAATCTGAATGGATGCAAATGGCTACTTAAACTACCAAGTAGTATTTTTATGTGCAAAATGAGATATTTATCCTTGAATTACAGTAATATCAGAATCCTTCCATCATCCCTTAGTGCATGTCTCTCCTTAACAACACTTCATTTGAATGAATGCAAGGAGTTTCGAGAAATCAGTGGCCTTCCACCAAACATAGAAAATCTTGAAGCTATCAATTGCACATCTTTAACTTGTGAGTCTAAGGAAGTGTTACTGAATTAGGTATGTTATATATGTTTTGATTCTTTTGAATATGTTCTGTTTGCATTTTTGCAAGTTTTTTTTTTCCTTGATTCTGTGGCAGATTATGACACTTTGAGAGCTCTGGACTCTGATACTGTTTCTAGTACTCATTCAATGATTGAGAAAGAGATAAATGTTTTGCCTATTCACTCATATAAAGTTCCTGTCCCACCCAAGTGAGTTGTGTTGCTTTCTTAAAATAATAGTAATAATAATGAATTAGAAAAAAAAAGCTTGTTGTATATGCTTGCATTGTTTTGTTTCTATTTTTCTTTACCCGCATGTTAGTGTTTGTAGGGTCTATTCCACCTTATTCTGCTTGTTCTGTAGAAAAGGCACTTACTACTGAATTGTTGTTAGTGATGGGTGATTCGCCCATGTCTACAGTATTTTGTTTTAGAAAACTATTTATTACTGAGCATATTTCTTATTCCATGCAGAAATGGGCATGTCCTGGTAAACTGCCATGGTTGGCTCTGACAAAGTTTTTGAATTTATGCACCTAGCTATTAGTCTATTGCTAATGTTGTATTTTGAAAACTTTTAGAATATAGCATGACCTAAACTAGAAAACTAAATATTTGTTGCTAATATTCATCCTAAATTTGTGGTAAGTTAAATATTGTATAAGAAACATAATTATTGGGTAATAGAACAATGATCTTGAAGGGTTCTCAAGCTAAATGCACTTGATACTCTGTTTCTTTTTTTTTATTATTATTTATATTTTTTTTATTTATATTTTTAGGGTTCTCAAACTAGGTTAAATGGTTAACAGGGTTAGTTTTCACCGTGTGCATTTGCGTTTATGCTAATTAAAATACAAAAAAATTATAACTACCCAAAAAATGTCATATTTTTTATTATTAACTGCTAAAATTTATTTTAAAAGTTATTATAAAGGCATTTTCAAAAAACTAAAATAAGCACTTTTTAATTTATTAATGTGTTTGTCTAATTTTTTTTTTAAATAAGCAGTTTGTTTCTTAAAAAAAATAACTCCTATTTATTTTTTAAAGAATCATTTTTCTTAAAAGTATTTATTTAGAAACATTTCTTTTTATGTTTAATCAAACAAATTTATTATCTGAAATATCTTAAAAATATGTTTATATAATATAATAAGTGATATTATAAATAAGTCATATTTAGTGATATTATAAATAAGTCATATTTATTCTTATAAAATTTAACACATTTTCATTCTAATTATCATAAAGTACATGTTAAAATCATGAGAATAGAAGAATCATGAGTTTTAGGTGAGAGTAAGAATAGAAGAATAGAAAAATCTTGAGTTTTAGGTGAGAGAAAAATAGAAGAATCCTGAGTTTACATTTTATCAATTTGTTATCTTTCTTAATATTTTTGATATTTAAATTGAGTTTCTACCCTTATAATGTTATTACCAATCTTCAATGATTTTGCAAAACTTTTAAAAAAAAATTATTGTAACCAAATTTAAATATAAATGTTATAATTCAAGTTATGTTAATATTTTTATTTCTATCAAAAGAAAAAACATATATAAGAGGTTAACATTAAATTTATTTGTTCATTTTTTTAATAATTTTTATTGTCTTTATTTGGTATTAGGTGTTCTACTACATCAGATGTTGTAATTGGATTGAACAGAAAGAGCCTCAATTCTGGCAATTAGTGACCAAAAGTCAAAAAAAGAAGAGACAACCAAATCTAGCCCATCATATTAAAAAAAAACAAGAGAAAAAAGTGGTTTTTTGTATTTCATTGTTATCTTAGACAATAGTTCTAAATAATATTTCTCTTTATCTCTTAATGTTGTAATCAATTATTGACATTATTTTTGCTTAATAATTTTTATGATTTTCTACTTATATAAGCATGTATATTATAATTTGTTTGTGTGATTTTTGTTATTATAATTTGGTAACCAAGTTAATCTTGATGCACAATATTTGTCCATTATATTTATATTTGAAAAACTTGTTTGAAATATTTATATATATGTTCATTACAAGTAATAAAAAAGAACCTAAAAATAAGAATATTTTTTTTATAAAAAAATGTAATCTACATCGGTTTTTTAAAGAACAGATGTAAATTTATGCATAAATTTACATTGATTTTTGTGAGAACCGATGTAAATTTATGTATAAATCTACATCGATTTTCCTGAGAACCGATGTAGATTCAGGCATAATCTACACCGGTTCTAAAATCGATGTAAAAGGGTATAGATTTTCTAAGTTACTCTATTCTACATCAGTTTTAAAATCGATGTAGATGACATCGCAGAATCGATGTAGAATATGCATCCTATAGTAGTGTCAATATGTTTTCTATGTTTTTTATTGTAAAAAAACATGTCATTTGTAATGATGTGACTAAAGAGAGTCTACTAGATTAAGATTTCAATAAATTTTAAAAAGTATTTTTATTATAAAAAAACTTATATGATGTTTAATTAAGACAATAATTTTTTTTAAGAGTCTATCAAAATCTAGTAATATTCAATTTATTTAAGAGCCTGTCAAAATTCAGTAGTATTGAATTAAGACTTTTTTACTTTAAAAAATATATTTGTATTAAAAAAATAGAGATTTTAATGAATTATTTTGAATAATAAATTTTATGAGACACTTTTTAGTATAATTTACATGTAATTCACTTATCAAATAATATAAATAAAATATTTAAAATTTTGTATGACTTTTTCTCCCTTCTATTTCTATTATTTCTTTCTTTTTTTCTCTTTCTTAAATTTTTTCCCTGGTCTTTCTTGTTTCTCTTTCTCATATTTTTTTTCTCTCCTTCTTTCTCGTCATTGTTGTGTTCTCTATCTTCTTTTTTCTCTATCTCATTTTCTTTATTCTTTTTATTTATCTCTCTCATTTATTTCTTCTTCTTCTTTCATATTCTTTTTTTTTTTGTTCTCTCACGGCTTCTCTTTCTCTTTCTATCTTTTTTCTTCTCTATCTATTTTCTCTTTCTCTTTTTATTCATCTCTTTCATTTATCTTTTCTTCTCTTATTTTTTTTTAATCTATCAATTGATGTATAATTTATTAATATTTTTTTTAATTATTAAATATTTAAAATGATTTTTTTACTATTAATATTATTTATTGTTAATTTTTTTAAATCACTAAAATTTAACTATTTATTTTTAATAAAATTTAATATTGAAATATAAAATTTTGAAACATATATTTGCAAGTCATGGTAATGACTCTCAAAATGAAAATGAAGTTTTTAATTTATGTTATGCATCCTTAAGAAATGTGATTAAGAGAAGATTTAGTATTTTTGAATCACTCTTCATAATTTTTAAGTTAGGACCTATATTTCTATTCAAGACATAAACTGAACTTGTATTTAGCGTGTAACACTATATAACTTTCTTCAAAAAAAAATGTTATATATGATATGAATTTTTAATTGGATTAGTGGATGAATTTTAATCTTTAATGTTATCAATTAATGAAGATTATAATTTTGAAAATATTATTCATACTCAAGTGCATGAAAGACAATATGTCAATGCATGGAAAGTTAGTATAACTTTAGTTATGTGAAAAAATGTTGGTTAATTATTTATGAAAAAATAGAAACAATTATTTGTCAAAGATAAGAAAATTGTGTTGAATTTACTTTTTTATTATTATTATTATTTATGTTATAATTTTTTATTGAATCTTGTAGTATTACAAATCTATATTTTTTCTGTGAAATCCATGAAATCATTTAAAATATTATAATATAAATCAATTAAAATTCATTAAAATCTAAATTACAAAGTCTTGATTAAAGTTCAAGTTTTAAAAGTCTTTTAAAATATCTTAAAAGTTGTGACATTTTTACAAAATCTTTTAAAATTCATTAAAAATTATAAGACTTTTTCATGCTAAAATTATCTTTCTAAATTCCAATTCAATATACTTTATACTATTACCATGTATTTTGCTTCAATTGTTGACATTACCACAATTGACTAAATTGTTAATTTCTAATAAGTCATTTTGCAAGAGTAAAAAATACCCTATCATAAACTTCTTGTCATCCAAGCCATCAACATAATCTAAATCAGCAAATTTCATAACTAAATAAACATATTATCATGACTTATTATGTCTCTTAAATACCTAAAGATCCACCTCATTGCTTCCCAATGTTGTTTTTTTGTTTTCTTCTCATGCAACACCTTTAAAAAGCCTTGGTGTGCCAACAAATCCTTAAACCACCTTTTCCATAATCCGAATTTCTCAATTCCATTGAACTTTTTGACTTCAAGTTTTGCACTAGGGTTAACTACCATATGATTCCAATTGTTAGTAATAACAACCAAATTCTAAAATAAGAGAATAAAACATTCAACACACAAACAATGATTTAAATGTGCCTACATCCCCAAAAGTAGAACATTTGTGTTTCTGTTATTATTCATTAGAAATTAAGTTACATCAAATATATATAAACTATGAGGGCATAATCCTACCCTAACCAATTAGTTTGTAACCCAACAAATAGATAGTCTAAGCCAAATTTGCTCCACTCCAATAATTGTTTGCCTAGATACACAATCATGCACACTTATGCACACAAAAGTCCTATTTAGAACATTTAGAATGACTTCTTGTTTGACATGCTTTAGTAAGTTTTTATTGATAATTCTTCTTGATAATTCTTTTTGATAATTTTCTTCGATAATTCTTTATAATTTTCTTGAATTGACTTGCTCAAATTAGCCAATGTGGCTCACTTTAAGCATGTAAATTTCCTTGACCACCCAAGCACTATCACTCTAGGTGAATTGTCTTTCTCACTTCAAGCACATGTATTCTTTCACTCTAAGCAAAGAGTCTTGCCTTGCTTATTAGCTTATGTTTTCAAATCTTTTTTTTAGCTTATTTTTTCTTCTTGCCTTTTCTTTCTTGTGTCTAAAATTAACACTAGCAAAAAAAAATTAAAAGTACTTAAAAACTTAAATAATTCAATTAAGATAAATAAAATTAATTTTTAATATTTATTTTTTATATGAACAAGACTCAAAAGCATAGAATATATTTGATAATTACCAAAATTTATTAATTAATTAAAAGATATACATATATTTAACTATTATCAATACTCAAGATGAGTTGAAAGGAAAGAAAAGACTAGGAAGCCCCCTTTTATCAAAGAAAGGATTCATCATCTTTCAAACTAGAGGAAATACTAACATTCTTCAATAAGGGATGAATGTTAGAGGGATCTCCTTTTAGAAATGATCAGTGGTCCAACTACTCAAATCAGAATAACATATAAATATGAGATCATAGGTCTCTTAAGTTGGAATAATATATAAGTATAAGATCATATGAACTCCCTTAATAAAATAAGGTAATTCATTGTACAAGAATATGATATTAGGAGAGAGATAAAACTAAAAAAAAAATAAAACAAAAATAAAGCCATGAGATATAGGTAAAACAAAAATAAAACCATGGGATGAATGTAAGCATTCCTTATTGAGATAAATGGTGATGCCTATATGCTTTATTTAGGTGGTTAAGAATGTGTATTTGTAGTCACTAGGTAAGTGAGGTTATATAAACATATTTATTAGGTGATGATGAAAATAAGAATGTCCATGCTACCAAATGGTATCAGAGTGATTTATACTTAGTAATGATTTTTGTGAGTCCCAAAAGGACAAGTAAAGATAAAGTTAAGTAAAAGAAAAGGTAAGTACTCATCCAATGTTATAGTAAAGTTTGAGTTAATGAGAAACTAGAATGAATGTCAGATAATGTAAAGGTAAAAATTTTGAGGTGTAGATGCCATAGAGAACAAACAATCTTATATTTTACATGGAAATCAAATCTGTGTACCAAAGTTGTATTTATCTATAATCTTAGTTATTTATTTATTTTAATTTTTAATCATGTATATTATTTACAATTATGTTTATCCTCTCTTCTACTTACAATTAAAAGAGAGTTTAACAACTCTTACTTCTTTTGAAATTAAGGATCTAAATTATGAAAATAACTCTTCCTCCTTTTTTACTTCTCCCAAACAAATTATGAAAATTTAGCATTTCTATCTTATTTTCTTTCGATCCATTCCATTAAAACAACCCAAGGGATAGTGTTGGTGTAGCATTACTTAGTATCAACCTTCACTAATGAGACACAAAAATTAGTTTAGCAACATACTTAGTATCACATTCATGGTATTGTGATGGAAAAGCAACATACTTAGTAAAACATGAGAATCACAATTTTTTGAGAATCAACAGTTTAGCAATATTGTTTTATAGCCCACACACGGAAATGTCACATTTTCAAATTTACTTTCTCAAAAATAATTTTACAAACTTTAAAACAAACACAACATTGAATATTTCTTAACTTGATAAGACGACACATGCTCTTGTTTTTCTTACATATCTCCGTACTATATATTAATGCAACTATAGATTTTTTATCCAAATGCAAGCATGTATAGGATGATTATTATATTCTCAATCTTCTTTCATGTAGTCTTTACTGCTATAGGGGCTGAATGCTTCCGTAATCCAGTTCCTTTTCCTCCATGGACTCCAACCCATATCTTCACATATTTCATCACTATGGTTGATGTAATAAGTTGAAATGCAATGCTTTTTATAAAACCTACTTGACCTTTTCATAACATCAATCTCCTTAAGTGTTTGTGAAAGCATCTTCTCAACACTAGGGAGCTTAAATTTATTGTCTACTAGTGCAGCGAGCCACATGGAACGTATCTCTGAAGTGGCAAGATTTGATACACTCTCAATATAACCCACAAAGGCCATATTGGGAATCAATGGATGGATAGTTCCCCTGCAATAGATAAAATTACTTACCAATTAGGTCTCAATCATTAACGTGTAAGGGTCAGAAAACAAATAAAGAGTAAATACTATATGCACTCTTGAATATTTAAAAAACAATAAATAAAAACATTTTTACTATCATTTAGTCACAAATAAATAAATAAATATATATATATATATATACAAAAATATAAATATATATATATATATATATATATATATATATATATATATTTGACTTTTATAATAAATATCAAATAAACAAATATTTTCTCCCTTGAAAGTAATGAGCATTATCACTTTTAAAATTAATAAAATGTCAAATAAGTTTCTAAAATGTCAAATATAATTTTATAAATTTTACTAGTTATTATCATTTTAGTTTGTGAATACATATTAACATTATCATTTTAGCTGCATTATTTTTTGGATTTTTTTATTAATGTAATTGTCAATTTTTACTTTTAAAGACTTATATGAATTTTTTTTTAATTTCATAAATTAATATAACAACATTTTTCAAACTTAAGAATCAAAATAATTGTTTACTTAATAAATATTCAAAGTTATATAAACAATAATTTTTTACTAAGCATAAAAATTTAACTCATAAATAAAGTCGTCATTTACCTATATAAGGGCATAATCCCAGATCGGTAATCTAACAAGCTGTTGAAAGGCTGTGGTAAGATGCTTTTGAGCTTTTCCTTCCCATCAAAACCAGTTGCAAGAACCACTACATCAGCCTCAAGTTTAGAGTCGTCTTCAAATTGAATTCCTTCACTCCAGAAGGACCAATTTGATGTTTTTTTGAAGACAATTTTTTCCTTATCAGCCTCAGAGAAGAAATTTTCGGGCACAATAGCCATTTGACAAGTTGCATAATCCTCCTCGAAGGGGTGCTCTGGTATCAGTCCATACTTCTCCAATGGGAGTTTCCAAAGCAAGTAGGATTCAATAAACTTTGAAATTCCACTTCTCTGTTACATAATAACTAAGAGCCATTAGGTGCACATACAGATCTCTCTCTTTATTTTTATTTTTATTTTTTTATCTCGGAGATATAACTCTTTTTCCTATAAAAATAAAATAATATTTCTAGTCACAACCTTATATCTAAGACACAAAATGAATTTTAGTCCTTGATTAAGAATATAAATGATGAATTACTTAAATTAACGACTTTTGATATATAAATTTATTTAAATCAGTTTCACATGAAGTATTTTTAGAAGGAAAAAAATAGGAAGAAAATTAGTTAAATAAATTTCTCCATATGCTAAAATTAAGTTATGCATAATTTAAAAAATAAGATTTTACATAAATTAATAAGAGAGAACTTTTATGAATTAACTTATTTACAAGTTAACTTTAACTAAAAAAATTATTTATTTCTTTCTATTTTTTTCTCTTAAAAGTGTTTTTGCATAAATATATCCAAATAGATCCACAAAACTTTAGGAATAAGGCAGCTATTAAAGGCTACGTAACATGTGAATTAATTTAGTTAAGAATGTTAATTTACCATTGGGGATAATAGGAAGCACAGAATGGCCTTGAGTAAACCTTGATTAGGTCTTTCGTGGAGGAACTGAGAAGATCTTGTCGAGTAGAACATGGAAAATGGCAATCCCCAAATCCAATAATGGGGAACTATCCAATGTGTAGTCCTTACTACCATGGTGCAAGGTTTCCCTTCAGGTCCTTCAAGCACCATAACATGGTATTAAAATATAAGAAAATAAGAGTAATTAATATATATATATATATAATCCAATAATGGGGAACTATCCACCATAACGTACGTGCGTGCGTGTGTGTGGAGTACAACCATTGAATTATAACTTTATATCACCTTATATATTTATATTAAATTTTGTTAAAATTAAACAACAACTTGAAGGTAATTAAAATATTTATAAACCATTAAGATTAGTTTAATAGTTGGGAGGGAGGGGTCGGAATAGTTAGAAACATAAAGATTTAGGTTCAATATTTATTGTGACTACCTTTTTAATGTTTTCTATCTTTACCAAAAAAATTAAAATATTTATAATTTAATATATTTTAAAATATATATTATACCAATTTTATTTTAAATCGATATTGTTTAAATAATTTTTAAATGATAAATATAATAATGAAAATTAACTACTTTTATAAAATTAAAATTTAAACTTAAGACCTTAAAATTTAATAACAATATAAATACTAATTGATTCAATAAATATTATAATTTTAAAATATTTTTATTAAATAAAATATAGAGATATAAAATGTTTCAACCTCACTAATCAATACATAAATATCAATACATAAATGTGATACAATATTTTTTATAATATTTTAAAGATATTTTTGTTCTTTATTTATTTTGGTAATTGCACCCCCCACCCTCCTTTTTATGGTAGGACAATTCAGTACGTAGCTTTATTTATTTAAAGTGAAATTTTTTAATAAATTGCAATCCCTATAGTGTTATAACTTTCGCACGCACAATATTTACAAGACACATAATGAGTTCATTTTGATTATTATTTTATTAATGTTAAAAAAAATTATTGATTATATCGATAAACATTTTGATCACGAAAAATGTTGCCGAAAGGGATTGTGAAATAATCATAATTATATATGCATGTTGCTATGCAACAAATTCTATATTGGAAATGAAGACTAAAGAGATATATATTTCAAGTAACAGCTGTTAGATGTCCTTTATCATAAATCTTCTCCTTTGATGGGTATATATATTTGTCTGTAGGTGTAAAAAAATAATTTGTCTAACCTAAATTTTGGAATATGATTGCTGCATAACCTAAAGATCTGACTTGTGTCGGTGGTATCATCATGGTCGTAGGTATTTAAGGGGTTTTTGTTAAAGAAAAACTGCAATATGATGGATAGGTTGAGTTTAAGAGATATTTGTATTCAAACCCATCATTTTAATTAATTGATTTAAATTGAGATAGATGTTTTTCATATTTAGATTAATTTGCCTCAGGTCAGGTTAGGTTATCGGACCATAATAAAAATAAATAAAAGTTGATAAATAATTTCAAATTTTAGACAATAGATACGAAATTGTAATAAAAAAAATAGTTAAAGCTGCCAATAATAGCAATTTTAGAGTTATAAAATTACATAATACACAAAATATAAAATTATAGAACTATACGACATAAAAATTAAAAACTTTTTAAAATAGTACACATTTAGATTTTATATGTTTAAATTCAATATGTATGCATAAAAACAAAATCAATATGCATACATTTAACTAAAGTTTTCTCTTCGATTTGGTTTAGAATGATAGTCAATCAAAACATCAACCAAAACAACTGCCGATCCAATTCATTTTTAACCCATGTATATGTTTCATATGACTATATTACAATCGATGTAACTGTATTACCATCTTTTCACAATAAAATATTACCATATGCATATACTAATATGTTGAATTACTTTATGTTAGAATAACTTTTTATTTGACAAAAAATAATATATAATGTGATTCGTACGTCAATTTTATATAATATATATTTTTGGAAATAGGAAAAGATTAGGAAAAGATTAGGAAAAAATAGATAATTAAGATAATAATGTGACAGAGAAAAATAATTTGGCGATGAAATCTACTATTTCTAATGGACCAAAAGTTAATAGAACTATAACAAAAAGTTAAAAATAAAATAAAATGTTATATATTTTAACTATCAAAGAAAGAAAATATATACTTTAGGTTAAACATCTTTTTAATTAGTCCCTTTAAATATGTTAATGTTAATGTTTGTTTTTAGTTTCTTATTTTAAAAATATTGACTTTTGGTCCTTCATTGAAATGTGTCACAACGAATCTTTGTCATTAACCCATTAGTTAAAGTTAATTAATTTCATTTGTGGCTGTTTAAAATACGATTACCGAAGGTTTACAACTCCCAAACTTTTGATTGAAAATTTTGTTAAAATTAACTATGGCGGCCAGTGGAGGCATGGCAATTCAGGTGTTGATCCTTGATCCAATAATGGTGGGTGTGATGTAGAGGGGTTGTGCGAGGTGTTGCTCTAGGTCAAATGGCTACCATGTATTTTTTGAGTGAGAGAACGAGAGAAAGAAAAATAAAATGTGGGTGTTCTAAAATTTCATTATTAGATATAATTAAATGGAGTTGGTGAGAGAAGTTTATTGTGTCATATTTTAAAAATGAAGGACTAAAAGTTGAAATTTGTAATAAGAAAGATGAAAAGTAAATATTGACCTACTTAAAAGAATTGAAAGAGAATTATTAGAGTTGACTTTGCAGTAAATATTGATTAACATGCATAAATTCTTAAATTTAAACCCAATTGTTGTGATAGTAGCTTTTATTGATTAAAATAAAAGGACCAGAGAGATGTTTAATTAACTCTATTTATTATAAAATTAAAAAACTTCACACTTGCATTTTTTAAGAAAGAGAAATATAATATACTTGAAAAAAAATTGTTGAAAGCATTTGCCTTTTAAAATAAATTTACTTAATTCAATTCAAATTAGTTAGGCAACGTGATTTTAGATACCAAACCAAAAGTATTATCATATGTTGCATATAACTCTTTGAATTACGATTTTTGAACATTCTAAGAGTATAAATACTGGATTATATTCTTAAAAAAAATCACATTATATCAACTTTCACATTTATCATTTTTATTTTATTTTATTTTTCTATTTTTCTCTCTATGAATTTAAGTGTCCCCAAAATATTTTCTTAATTCTTTTTAATACAAAAAATATTCAAATATCATATCTATCATCCCTTGCCACTGAAAATATTAAATTCGAAAATGATTTTTAAGTCAAATCAAACTCTTCCACTATTTGTATTCGGTACTTCTTTCTTGCATATAATTAACTCAATCTGGTAGTGTAATGACATATTTGAATTTTAAAAAAGTTTAACGTGTTTTCAGAATATATCGATCGAAGGATTTATTTACTCTAAAATGAATGTATGAGATAAAAAGTAACGATTTATTTACTTTTAATTTAATAAAATTATATTTATGACATCTGTAATTTACATTAATAACTTTTCATTTTTTCAATTTATAGGTCTGTTTACTTTAGAAAATTCAAAACCATAATAGGAAATCCACCCTCGAGACAATTTTTCTCTATTCATTCAATGCATGCGTCATTTTCAATTCAAAACTGATTTGTGGAATACAGAATTAATTTTTAGGCAACAATAAATATCAAACAAACGCGACAAGAAAAAAGGTTTTTATAAAAAAGTTAGGAAGTAGGTCTAACTATTTAACAAAAATAAGAATTAAATTAAATCGCAACTTAAAATTTTTAAATACGAGCCTTTCAATTATACATAACTATATTATATGCTTAATATTTTTATATCTAACATTATCATCGAGAGTCATAAGGTAGTTTAGATGGTGTGAAAATCAAACATATATAGGATTAGAGTGATAAGAACAAAATGAGTTCAAGTTTTTTTTCAGCTAACATAATTCACTAATTATTAATATGTGTCGCTAAAAAAATCTAATACTATCATTGAAGTATTTTGATTACAAATATTTACTTAAAATTATATAAACAATTTTTGGTAGAGGACTAAACAGGTTAAATAATTTACTTAAAAGTAAACAAATAAATATTTTAAATATACACTAAATATTCATTTATTTATTCAACAAAACATAATTATAAATATTTGATGTGAAGAATTAGCTAGTACGTTGTATATGTAGAATGTTTGTGGGTGAAGAAAACCAGGTCAGAGAAAAATCTATGTTGGTTTTGTAATAAGCAACGTTGGCAAATAAAAAGCGTAGT